GGAGGAGCCGGCGGGGTTGGCAAAGCAACACCGAGCGAGCCGGCGGCGTTATCCCACGTCCCTGAAACGCAAAGAAAAAACAGAGACGCCCAGTGAGACGCTCTGCCCATTTCGGGAGTCCATCGGAGCGTTAATTGCGAGAGAGTGAGAATGATGTTGGCCGCCGTCGTTGTTGTGGTGGGATCCCCGCAGGTCGGGACACGGGGTCTCTGCCGCGGGAACGCTGCTTTGCCCAAGCGGCTCCCAGCCCCGTCGCCGCCTCCATCCTCTGCCTCCCATTTAGCATCCCTAACGGACTAGTCCTGCCTGGGAATATCCCGCTGTCATGCAGACCTGGGGCAAACCCGAGCAGGGAGATGGTCTTGTCGGGGGACGCGACTCCCAACGTGCGTACGTTGAGCTGCCGAGATGGCCGTGCTGCCGCGAGAGTGCTCCGGGCCGGCACAGCCCATGGCCAGAGCTCCCTGCCCTGGAAAGGGTCCCCAGGGATTCCCCTACCTAAAAAAAACTATTAACCGTGTAAATCCTGCACGTCCTGGTTACAAAGATAAACTCAGCCTCGTATTTTTAGCTCTGGGTTTGCCGAGGGTGTATATTATGTTCAGCAGCCTGATTAATGCTGCAGTGAGTAAATAGGGCTCAGAACAGGTACCAGTGATTCGTTTGCAGCATCAACCGCAGTCAAAGCACTGTTACATCAAAGATCATTTACCGTGGGGGGATGTGTGTGTCCCCTACGCCCTCAGACAAAGAACAAGCTGAAGATCTGCCCTTACCCCACTTCTTCCACATCCTGACATCCTTCCATACATCCTTGTCTCAGCACAAGGAGGCAGTTTGCATTGTTGCTGCTTTACTAAACGAAAAACCCTGCCACAATGGTGTATCATCAGCACTAGGGAAAGGGAGTTGCAGGGAATTTCAATGGGTACACCAAACACTCGCACTTGAGATGGCAAACGATCCTCGGAGGGAGGAATTTCTCACCTGGAGCTCTGGCCTCAGCGGTCGGATGAGGGAGATCTCGCTGCCCCTCGGCCGCATCCCGGCCCTGCGTCATGTCACCCACAACACATGGGTGACACGTTCCGATTCCTAAACAGAAATGGTGGAAAGTTGTCATCTCCCCTTTGGCACAAGCCCTGCCCTCCGACAGGAAAGTCTGGTGCTCGGCTCTGGCTCGAGCTCAGCAACCGGGAACAGAGGCACCCACAAATTCATGCTTCCCTGTGAAATTCTTGGCCTCAGGGCGATTGGGAGGTGACGCCACGGGCAGCCCAGAGATGCTCACCTTCCCCTTGACACCCAGCCCGGACATCGGCAGCATTCTGCACACAGCCAAGCACCGTCTGCGCCTAGCCTGGCTCCAGCCACTGTCCCGTCCAGGGCCGTCCACATATGATGTTGTGTGGCTGTTCCTGACCTTTCCAGCACTGCTGCTGCCTTGCTCTGCATCTGTCTCTACCTTCCTTCCCTGGACCGAGAGCATCCCTGGCCCGGGAGCGTCTGTGGATCAGCTAGCTTGCCCCTCTGCCCCAAACCAGCTGCCCTGTCTGTGTGGCTCGTGGAAGGAAGATTGCTTCGTTTGCGGGAGCTTCCTGACTAGCACTTGGACTTCTTGATAGGAGCTGGCAGGGCTGGGACCCCCCGGCCCAGGGCAGGGCCCGGCTGTGCCTCCTCCCCCCCCCGGCTGTGTGGTGGACTCCAGCAGAAACAAGAGGGAGGAGGCTTTTCTGCAAGGCTTGCTCAGGTGTTTTACATCAAAAGCTAACAGCCTTTTCAGCCCAAATTAACCTTTCCAATTTGCTTGAAATCTTTCTCATTTTCTGTGGAAAACATCCCGCTGTGATGGCCAGCGTGGTTTTATTCAAACCCAGGCTAGAGGAGCTGTGGTTTCTGATTGGAAATGCTGCTTAAAAACTACAGCGGCAGCAGAAGCGCTGGGGTGAAAGGTGAGGAAGGCAGACACGAGATTTTTACATAAAGGCAGCCGGTGTGCGCGCAATCCCTGCTGCTAACCCACCGCCGGGATGGGGTCTCTGCTGAGAAGGTGGCAGGCAGGGGGAGCCCCACTTCCCTCTCCTGCCCGGCGCTGCTCCGGCACGGACCTCCTTTACAAAATAAAGAGAAAAAGGAAAAGACGGTCACACAAGACTAACCGCTGCTCGGGTACGCTCTCAGCAAGGCAATTCCTGCCTAACCTCGGGTGATGCCGTGCCTGCGGTGGGTGGCTGCCGTATCCGCTCGGGATGAGCTGGATCTCCTTCATTAACAGCAATGGGCTGCAAATACCTTCCCGTACTTATTATTACCTGGCTTTAATGGATAGTGAAACGGCACCAGAATATTGCTACCACCTGAAGGGTGTCTAATGGAGAAGAGGACTGAAAGGAAAGTGCTCCCTTCCCTTCCTTCGCTGGGGGATTTAAAGGCATCAGGCTCCTTTGCTGGCGGGGTGCAGAGGGGCTCCAGACCTGCAAAGCCACCAGTGTCCACACCGACGCACAGCAGCGATCACATCACCCGCTCTGCTCTCTGCTTCGATTGTGGACCCACGCAAGGGGGTGCCGGGGGAGAGACCCCGCATGCCCCCCTGGCCCCAGGGACCCTCGTGGCGCCCTGGAGATGCAGCGACCCGCAGCATCCCCGAGGACCACTGCCCCACAGGAGGGTGGCTTGCTCTCCTGCCCCTGCTGAGGGTCCCGCATCCCACCGGCGTGGGGGGCTGCTGCCAGCCCGCCCGTGCCAGCGCCGGCAGCCCTGCCGCCTGCGCACAGTGTTTATTTCATGTCTTGCAGCGTTAAATCATAGCAGACATGCAATTCGGGGGAGCGCGAGGCTCCGTAATGGGCGGCCTCGGGCGCGTGATGGGGCCGGGGCCGGCAGGCAGCCGCGCTGCCAGGGCTCCTCCGCGATGCTTTATTGCTTTTGACGCTCCAAACGCGCTCTGAAAGGCGAGTCCTGGCAGCCCGG